GCACATCACTCTGAACACACCATCCCCACTGTCAAATATGGTGGTGGCAGCATCATGCTCTGGGGGTGCTTCTCTTCAGCAAGGACAGGGAAGCTGGTGAGCACTGTGAGGGTCACGTTTTTTGACTTTTCAAGTGCTTTCAACACCATCAGGCCGACCCTCCTGGGTGATAAGTTAGCAGCGATGCAGGTGGATGCTTCTCTGGTGTCCTGGATTGTTGATTACCTGACGGGAAGACCACAATATGTGCGTCTCCCACAGTGTGTATCTGACAAGGTAATCAGCAACACAGGTGCACCACAAGGGACTGTTCTCTCCCCCTCCCTATTCACCCTCTACACCACAGACTTCAGCCACTGCACAGAGACCTCCATCTTCAGAAGTTTTCTGATGACTCTGCGGTGGTTGGATGCGTCAGCATGGATGATGAGACAGAGTGCCGGGCTGTGGTCGACTCCTTTGTCACGTGGTGTGAGCAGAATCATCTGCAGCTCAACGTGGCAAAGACCAAGGAACTGATCGTGGACTTCAGGAAGACCAGGAAACACTTGACCCCTGTCCCAATCCAGGGGGTCAGTGTTGACATTGTGGAGGACTATAAATACCTTGGAGTACACATTCACAATAAACTGGACTGGGCTACAAACACCACAGCACTTTACAGGAAGGGCCAGAGTCGTCTCTATTTTTTGAGACGGCTGAGGTCCTTCAACATCTGCCAGAAAATGCTCAGGATTTTCTATGAGTCTGTTGTGGCCAGTGCGATCCTCTATGCTGTTGCATGCTGGGGGAGCAGGCTGAGGGTCGCAGATGCCAACAGACTCAAACTGATCCGTAAGGCCAGTAATGTTGTGGGGATGGAGCTGGACTCCCTCAAGGTGGTGTCAGAGAGGCGGATGCTGTCCAAGATAAAGACAAAGTTGGATAACACCTCCCACCCACTCCATGACATGCTGGTCAGTCGCAGGAGCACGCTCAGTGAGAGACTGAGATTGCCCATAATGCACCACTGAACGACACAGGAAATCATTCCTGCCTCTGCCTCCCTGTACAACTCCTCCACTTAACACACTGTTTACTGCAACAGCTACACCCTTCTTGGACATGTTCTTCCCTTTTCAGCTATTTATTAATAAGTGACTTATGTATATATATGCCTGTATATATTGTGCTATTCTTAGTTAGTGTATTGTCTGTTACTGTTTTTTTATAATGGAGCACTGTAACGAAAAATAATAAAAAAATAATTTCCCCTAGGGATCAATAAAGTATTCTGATTCTAAACCTACACTAAACATGAGGGCACACAAATAAAACCTAAGAACTCAACCCTTAACCAGAAAAAACTGAAACATAGAATTATAATAATAATCAACAAAGCACAACAAGACAATCAGAATACAAAATCAAACCAAAACATAAGAACTCCGAATGCTGGGTCAAAAAGACCCAGAACTGTCATTATCAATTAAGCAGATAAAAGACCTGGAGTTGGTTTGTGTTGGTGCATACAGTGTTGGTGTTTGCATTTGGAATATTTTCCTGTGAACAGTCAAAGGAGCTCTCTCTCTACAGATGAAACAGAATAACCTCATCTGAGGAATCGAATATTAGGAGAGGCAAAATCTACAGTTTGGTACATCCCGAGAAAGAAAGCACTGGTGAACTCAACAACACAAAAAGACCTGGATGTCCATGGAAGACAACAGTGATGAATGATTGCAGCATCATTTCAATGTAGAAGAGAAACCCCTTCACAACAGCCAACCAAATAAACAACTGCCATTGCCAGCAAGGGTTTTCAAACAAGTATTAGAATTGAAAATTTTATTTTCACTTATTTACATTGTCCAATTACTTTAGAGCCCCTGAAATGAAGGAATTGTGTTAAATATGCTTTAGTTACTCACATTTTTATGCATTTTTTTTTTGCTCAACCCACTGAAGAAAAGCTTAATTAAAAATTTAACTTAAAATGTAAGGACACACACACACACACACACACACACACACACACACACACACACACACACACACACACACACAAAGAAGTGCAGTCAGGGTGGAATGAAAACTACACAGAGGCAGTAACTCAGTAATCTAAATAGTATAAAGTAATACACAGTAATCTCATTTTGACTCAGCTTAAAACGTTCTGACAAAAGAAATAATAAAATAAAATAAAATTAGCAATTCATATTTATCATTATGTCAATTGAAGCTACATCCCAGCATTTTGGGCAGCCCCATTGTAGGCTGTGGGTGCAAACCCCCCAAAACTTACAACAACAACAACAAAAAAAGCCATTTTTAGCCACTCCTTTATAATTTAGTTAATTTTTTGATTTGGTATATATTTATGCCAGATGCCATTCCTAACAGAACACCCTGTTAAGCTCAACACTTGCACTCAAAGGGGAAAAAAACTAAAGCATGTGAAACTAGTGAGTGGCATCAAGGGGCTTACCTGTAAGGGGCCAGTGAAAGTTTTTTGTGGCTAAGCCCATAATAGACTTGCCCAGTAGTAAGCCAATTTCAGTGCATCAGATCAAATGTATAATAAGATTTTGATCAAGAAAGTATGACACAAATTCTGTAGTTTTAAGAAATCAAAACTTCACAAATTTGACATCAAATTAGAGCCATATTTCATTCCACTGAAAAAAATCATACCCATAAACAGGGCTGTATATTCATGAATTGAAAACAAAAACGTAAATTTATTTAGTTCTGATTTGAAACATTTTTTGTTATTTGTGTTTCAGACTCTCTCTTACTGTAGACATCAGGGACAACCATGGCTGTTCAATCTGAATGTGACTCAGTTACAAAAGAAGTGAAAGAAGTTCTACAACACCATGACAAACCACTAAATGTTGGAATGGTCAAAGAGTCAGCAGACCAGCACACCATCCCACTAAAAATTGCCATTACTGGAGAATCTGGTTCTGGTAAATCTACTTTTGTTAATGCCTTTAGAGGCATAAACGACGACGATGAAGGTGCAGCTCCTACGGATTGTGTAGAAACCACTGAAAAGGGGACACCATACCCCCATCCAGAGTATCCCAGTGTTACCTTATGGGATCTCCCTGGAATTGGTACCACAAAATTTCCAGCTGATGAGTACATGAAGCTCATTGAATTTGAGAAGTTTGACTTCTTCATCATCATCTCAGACACTCGCTTCAGAGAAAATGATGTGAAACTCGCTCAGGAGATTCAGAAGATGGAGAAAAAGTTCTACTTTGTTCGATCAAAGATTGACAACGATTTACGATCTGAAGAAAGAAGTCAGAGAGAGTTTAATGCAGAGAATACCATTTCACAAATAAGAGAAAACTGTGTTCAAGGTGAGTGTCATATGAGATCATGTATACATGAGTAAGATCACTTTCTGGAATGATGATGACGCAGTTGTTGAGCAACCAAGACTGGTCACTGAGTAGACTGGGAGCAGGATTTGATCCATGCCTACTGGCTTAAGAAACTAACAGCACTCCATGATCATCTGGCAATAGCAATAAGGGGGCTTCTACCAGCAGATACTCATCCAGACTTGCTAACACTTGTCAGAACGATTCTGATCATTAAGGATGCCAATAAGGGTATGACGCCACCAAACACCTGGTCAAAAAGCTGCCTCTCCCCAACATGGAAGCTCCTCTCAGGTATTGTAGGAACAAAGCTGAGCAGGCACATGAGTCAATACATAAACATATGTCTAAAGGGCATCAGAAAAAGCATAGACCAGCTCCTGTTTACCAGCACCCTAAGACCAGGCAGACCATACTGAGCACTGCCTGGACTGACTACAAGAAAGGCTATGAATCAGAGGTCCAACTCCAATGCAACCACACAACTCAACATCAAGTATGAGTTATTCATCTCTTTTGTCTTGTCTTTCACCCTTCACCCCCAAACAGTCCCAGCAGATGGTACCCCTTCCTGAGCCTGGTTCTGCTGGAGGTTTCTTCTTGTTAAAAAGGAGTTTTTCAGGTCATGTGTCTTACAAGATTGTCTGCATAGGCCTCAATCTCCTAAAGCAGCTCATTGCTAAGCACAAATATGGATATAAAATGAGGAGTGGATTAACCATCTGACACCTCCCATACATGGATGACTTGAATTTGTATGGCAGGAGTGGACGAGACATCAGTTAACTGATCCACCTCAGCAGAATCTACAGCTATGATGATGAAGTTGTATGAAAGTCAGCCACATGTAAATACATCTTGGAGGTCAGATAGTGCTGAACGGTAGAATTAAGATCCAAGCCGTAACTGCATACATCTTACTGGTCATCAGATACTCAGCTGGAGTAATAAGCTTGTCAGAGCAGGAGATATATGCCACTGATGTCAAGAAATTAAAACTCCTCACAATGAATAGAAGTCTCACTTAGATTATTGAGTGTCAGAGCCACAATCCAGGATGAAACATAAAGCCTTTGTGAAAGAGGAAGATGAGCTGCTCTAAGAATGCCTCCAGATGCTGAAGACAAATGATGATGAGAAACAGGAAAATGAACTATCAAAGAAACTATCAAAGTCACTGCATGGAATGCACCATTTCATTAGCAAAGGGCTGACCTCAAGAAATCTTACCAGTGGCTAGAAAAGGTCAGAATAAAAGACAGCACAGAGGCTCTGATTACAGCAACACAGTAACAAGCCCTAAGTATCAGATCTATCGAGGCAGGAGCCTACTACTGCTGGCAGGACCCAAGTTGCAGATTGTACAAAGGTGACAGTGTCCCAGGGGACAGCAACATTAACATCCGATGAAACAACTGGAACAGTTTTGGAAGGTTAAGTCCAAAGTGGTCCCAGTGGTTTTTGGAGCATTAAGAGCTGTAACCCTATTATTTTAAGAGTTACTCCAAATGTCTCTGTCCACATGAGTGCGCCCTTAGGAACAGCGAAGATACTGTGCAGAACCCTCAAACACCAAGTTCTCTGATAGGTTGTATATTTTTAGCCCTCACACTATATTCTTTCTGTGACACAGGTCTGGCAACACAAGGCATTGAGTCTCCACGGGTCTTCCTAGTGTCCAGCTTTCAGCTCCACCAGTATGACTTCTCTCTTTTATATGAGACCTTGGAGAGAGAACTTCCTGAACTCAAAAGAAAGGCTCTGCTCTTGGCCACTCCTAGTATCAACCTGGAAATCATTACCAAGAAGAAACAAGCTTTCCAGGTATCATTATATTGACAGCCACACCGTCTACAGCTATAATAAATGTACCAAGATCCTAAGCTCGATATTTTTTTCTTATCTGCCCTAACTTACTCTAACATTAGAGCGTTATATTTTACAAAGAGAAAAGTAGAGTATCATTTAAAATAAAGGAGATTGATTGGTGTGTGAGAGGCAAAGAACTATTTGTATGCATGTGAACTCTAAGCGCTTAGGTTACCAAGATAGGAAAAAGCTTTATGAATAAAGTCTATTTGAAAGCAGGAAGTAAACCTGGCAAAAAAAACCCAAAACTTTGTAACAAAGACTTTACAGACTTAGCATTAATCACAGCGCTGCCATTAAGTCACAGTAATTACGCTTTGTCTAGTAACAATTTTTATATACAGTCAATAACTACTTTTTAGGACCATATCACTATTTCATAATGATGAGAAATCACTTGGACTTGATGTAGTTTATGTTGAGAAAACCTGCTCACATAAGTGTGCGGATCCAATGATGGACAGGACTCTAAAATATGGAGAGAAATTTGCCTCCCAAAGGGTTGCAAATGCAAACAATATGATCCACAAGAATAAGTCCCTGTGTGAAACAAATGTGTACAAATCTTTGCCTGTGGTACACATTTGCAAATCTTTTGAGGAATAGTACCGCAATACAGAGACTCAGGTGATGCTTAGTGCTCTGGGTTTGGCTCGTAGCTGCCTACTAGCTTTCTGGTCTTGGTCAATTTATAGCAAAGTGGATAGATGGAGAGAGCCAGCAGAGCTTTATTTTTCTGGAGGCTGGAAACACAGTGAACAGCTGAATACTAATATTTCACTCTCAGCTGGGCCCGTTAGAAAGTAAGGTTATGAAGTCATAAGCCAACAAGTGTGGTCAACAGTATAGGTGGAATGATTGTATTGAAAGCTGAATTAAAGTTTATTAAGTCCTGATATAGTTCCCCTGTTACTCAAGATGAGAAATAGTGTAGTGTGTAAGGCAGTGGAGATGCCATCTTCCTGTTTGATCTACAGACATATTGATGTGGGTCAATGATGACGGAGAGACTGGCTTTGGTATGTTAAAGGACCAGATAATCTAATTGTGTAAGATGAAACCAAGTGTGTCATATTTTAATGTCTATTTTGTTAAATAAACAAATTTAATTCATTCTAAAAGTAAATTTCATTCTCTTTTTTTGGTACCAGTTGTTATGGACGAACGCAGATAACCAATTCGGAAACAGAGTAATTAAAGAAGAAATCAAGGAAGCTCTGCTGAAGAATGACAAACCACTGGCTATTGCAAAGATTGAGGAGTTCCTGAATAAAGAGAAGAACACTCCACTCAATATCGCCATCACAGGTGAAACTGGTGCTGGTAAATCCACTTTTATTAATGCCTTCAGGGGAATGGACAACAGAGATGAGGGAGCTGCCCCGACTGGTGTAACAGAAACAACCTTAGAGAATACACCATACCCTCATCCAATGTATCCCAATGTTACTTTATGGGATCTTCCTGGAATCGGCACCACCAAGTTTCCAGCTGATAAGTACCTGGAGCTTGTTGGATTTGAGAAGTTTGACTTCTTCATCATCATCTCAGACACTCGCTTCAGAGAAAATGATGTGAAACTCACTCAGGAGATTCAGAAGATGAAGAAAAGGTTCTACTTTGTTCGCTCAAAGATTGACAACGATGTACGAGCTGCAGAGAGAAAGAAAGACTTCAGTAAAGAGAAGACTCTTACAAAAATGAGGGAAAACTGTGTTCAAGGTGAGTATCCTATGAAATACTTTATCCCTGAGTGAGATTTCTGCATGTATTCTTTTTTATGTGTGTTAATTTTATTTATAAATGGGTAATTATATAATAATTAGGTCATAAAATAACACTGCACATCTTATGCTTTTCAAATCAATAATAAGCTACAAAGCTAAGCTATGAATTAGAATCATTTACAGCTCTATAGTGTCAGCAAGGTTACTGTTTGAGCTGACTGAGAAAACATCATTTTTTATGATTTATTTCACATCTAATCAAATTGACATGTACTCCTTATGTGATGCAGGACTCAGAGGATCTGGGATCCAGTCTCCACAGGTCTTTTTGATGTCCAGCTTTGAGCTCCACCTGTACGACTTCTCTCAGCTATATGAGACCTTAGACAGAGAACTTCCTGAACACAAAAGACATGCTCTGCTGCGCGCCATGCCCAACATCAGCCTGGAGATCATCAACAAGAAGAAAAAAGCTTTCAAGCGCCGATTGTATCTTTTGTGTGCTGTCTCTGGAGGTGTAGCTGCTGTTCCACTTCCTGGGCTTTCTATTGTTGTTGACATAGCTCTGATGGTGGGTGCTGTTACAGATTATATTTGTGGGTTTGGTCTTGATATCAAGTCTCTGAAAAGGCTCTCCGCTATCTCAGGTGTGCCATACACTGACCTCCTTGCTGTCATCACTTCACAACTGGCAGCAAAGAAAATAACACGTGATCTCCTTCTGAAGGTGTCGGCCCAGCTTGCAGTATCAGCTGTATTCATGGTACTAGAGGAAGTATGCAGGTTTATTCCAATAATTGGAATCCCGTTATCAATGGGTTTCTCTATCACCACAACCTACAGGCTTCTAAATTTTATCTTGAACCAGCTCGCTGAAGATGCTCAGAAGGTGTATGAAAAGGCCCTGGGTCTGAAAGCTTCACCTCAAAAACTTAAAAAGTAAAAGTTAGTGAAACTTGTGACACTTTTTAAACCAGGGGTCGGCAACCCTAGGCACGTGTGCCACAGTTGGCACACGAAGGGTTAACTGATGGCACGACCATAGCTGGACTGGCCATTGGGCACACCGGGCATTTGCTTGGTGGCCTGGTGACTTTTTTTCTTCTTCTTTGTAACAGTATAAACAATGAAAGGTGGTGGATTGGCCAGATGCTGGCCGGTGTGTAAAAATAACTATCTGGGTCAGATATAAACCAAGTTTAGGTGGAGTTTATTTTCCTTGTGCTGACTTTTTACAATCAGTTACAATAACTCGTAGCTAGCTAGTATGACAGAGTTTCTATACAGCTGGGTGGGTGCTTTGATTTTATAGTGAACTTTATTTTATTCATAAGGTTAGTTAGTAGAGTTGCCAACCGTCCCGTAAAAAACGGAATCGTCCCGTATACAGACAAAATATTACGCGTTTCGTGTTGAGCTGAGAAAGGATGCAGTTTGTGGAGGATGGAAAAAGACACAAAGCTGGAGTTATTCTGTGTCTTTGCTGCACAGCTGCCTCTTCT